ATAAAAGTTTTAAAAAGTCATTAAAATTTTAATACTTCAAGTTTTATAGAAATTTCTTAAAAAAAAAAAAAAAAAATTGAAAACACATTAATTTATAGAGATTTTTTATTAAAAGTTTATAAAAGTCTCAATTGAAAACATCAATATTTTTAGAGAGTTTTAAAAAGTTTACATTGAATACTCCTAAACTTTTTTAAATTCCAAAAAATCATTAAAAATCAATTGAATATACACACTTAAATGCAATTAGTTAGCATTATTCAAAATAACATGGACTATTCCTTTTTTTCCCCTGACGAAGATAGTAACGGGCTTTGTTAATTATTCTTAAAGTGGACAATGAGGCTACTATAAAATTAGTAACATAATTGGACTGTTGCACTTGCTAATCTTATCACTAACAATGTATCGATCTTGTCACCAGAGTGAGAAAAAAAAAATACTTTATGCAAATGAGAATAGGTATCCATTTTCTTGTGTCAAGAATTTTAATGAACTTTTGTGATCAGCATGGTGATTCTTGTCGTGTATTGACTCATTTTCTTGATTACGAGCAAGAAAACTAAATGCTGTCGAGAAGTAAATTTTCGCTAACTTTCAAACTCATTGCCAATAGTCAAGAGACTATTGTGTCATTGGATGGAGTTACAATTTCTCGTCCAATGAAGGCAAAATTTAAGATTTTTTATTTTTTTCAATCAATACAATAGAACATTAGCATTAATTTTTTTTTTTTTTTTACAATTATTGTCTAGGGTAAAATTAATAAAAATGAACTTTTCATTGAAAAATATCTTTTTGTAACCACCTAAGGATCAAGTACAACGAACTCGCAAATTTTATAGCAAAATATTTTTTCACACGTCGCAACAAGTTCGATAATAATGAACCTTGCCATTTCAATTTAAACCTTAAACTAATGCAGCTATACGGTAAACAAACATCAAATTATAATGTGCATTGCAACATTTAATCAAACATATAGTTACCCTTTACAAAGTTACTACACGATAACAACAGAATTGAGTGATGCACTGACGTAAAAAACCATAACTACAAGCAAAGATGTCAAATATATTATATATAGCTTTTAAACTCATATACTTCATTAATTTATAAATAAATAATGAGCAATTCTTAAATCAATTTAGTCACAAAAAATTGTACATTTTTATGTCACAGCTGGAATTTACAATTACAGCTATGGCTTCTCCTCCACTACACCCAAAACCGAAGTTTATTCAGCTGGAAATTCAATTGAATCTGGAAACTAAATCAAAAGAAGAAACGGGGACGGGGTAAAAGAAAAAATGAAGAAGGTGTTCGCGAAATATTTTCTTTCGATTTAAAATTATCGCAAGTGTACGGTTCGTTAACAAGTAATAAAGTAGATTAAATGAGTCCGAATATCGTCCCACAGGGATTGATTAGGTTAATTTTACCTATCGTCGCCTTAACCGAAACAATAGAAATTCTTGATATTTTCGCTAACTAAATTATGATTTAATAACCTACTTATAAATATAAAGCCTAAATTAACTAGATTAAATGTGTGATTATAACTAAATGCAAGTTTTATAAAAATGTGATAAGGAAATGCGTACTAGGATCCCGAATCCTCTTATATCAATCCCCTTTAATCCGAATTTTATAAAATTGACAATACGATTCAATTATGAAGATCAATATTCCTAATTTGTTTAACAATCTCTCTCAAGTAGAATTAAACATATTTTCACATGTGATCCGACTATATTTCTATGATGGATGCGAACATATAAAAATGTATTAAAGATTTATGAATACTTAAAGATCACGTAAAGCATAGCGGTATATTTCTATCCCCTATCGAACTTTACGACAATTAACATAATGTCTAACTTATTTTCCATCTTTCGAGGGTAAAACAAGTCACAAAGCTCATTCAACTATTGCGCACATAATTGTAAAGAAAATAAAATTCATGTCAATCATTCAATAATTAAAAACATGTTTTAACGTCAAATTAATAAAATTCAAGATTAATGATTCATAATATGAGGTTCATCGCAAATCCTAGCACATGAAAATCTAGCCTAATATAATGGGAAATAAAGAAAAATAATAATTAAAATCAAGGAAGAATATCTCCCAATTGATTCTTGAAGTGAAATCTTGACTCTTGAAATGGATTGTCTTGTTTTTGCCTTGTTCTTCCTCTCCAAATCCTCCAAAATTGTGTATATTCCCCCCTTCAATCCATTCTCCTCTTTCTGGACGTCTTTTGGTATTTATATCGCATGAAAATTAGGTTACCAAAAGAGTTTCAGTCGTATAAGGAAATTACAGAATCGGCCCGAAATTATTCTATGTGACCGCATAGAATTTATACTATGCGACCCCATAGTTATGCGATTCTTTCCGTCGAATAACTTTTAATATTTTGGTCATAACTTTTTCTCCTGATCCTCGATTGAAGTGATTCAAAGTGCATTGGGAAGAAAACTCAAAGATATACACTTTTAGTAGAAATAGGCTCCTCAAATTCTAATGTTTACTATGCCAAAAATGGATCTCAAGTAGAGACTAAAAATCACGCGTATAGCTTTTTAGCCTGAAAATTGATACTTGATAATACTTCGATCATATTTCACCTCTCGACTCCTTTTCTCATCCTATTGACCTCTAACACTCTTGAATATTCTTTTCATTTCACGTCTCTTCTATGGATTATTTGCAACTTAGTCCCCGAGCTTTCAGTTTGATTCATTTTGATCCTTTTTCTGCTATTTTCTTTTGAATTCCACCATTTCTATAGAAACACCTACATTGCATGAATTCAATGAGATTAAGCCATAATTTAAACATTTTTTTTGTAATTTAGTTATGTAAGTGATCTAAATAAATGTGCAAAAACACACTTATCAAAACCCCCCAAACTTGAACTATTGTTTGTCCTCAAACAAGATAGTGACTTAATTCTGAACAAACATGGCTTAATACTTTGTCGTGGCTCAGGATTGGACTAAGTATTTGACTTTATTAAAATTTATCAGTGCAAAAATGACATCAACTTTTACGTGTTAAATGCATACTTGACGTGTGTGTGTGAATTCATGCCAACATATAGGGTTCATGATGAGTTTGAGTCCCGACCCCAAGTGGCCAAATGTATCCTTGCTCGCTCGAGAGATGCACAACTCCCAAATTTATTATTTTCACTCCCGGGGTTGTATTTTAAAATTAGGAGTTTACATAGCTATAGTCCTCACCCTCTCGTAGTTTGGATTAATCTCACTATCACAAGTGTACATTTCAACAAGTGAAGGCTCTCCCAAGTTTGATTGTTTCGACACTCAAGATTAAAATATGTTACTTGCCTCGTCTCAAAGGTATAGCTTTCTCAACCAAATGTCTAAGGGTTTTTCTTCATGTTATTGTCTCTCTTTTGTTTTTCTCACTTTCCAATTTTATTTTTTATTTTTTTAATATCATCTTCTCATTTGCTTTCTATATGACACATTTAGCGAGTTTTAGGCCGATGACTCCCAAACCAGTTGGCTTTAGGGCACCAAGTTTTAAACCCTTATAGGTTATTCACTCGGGTTATAAAGGCTCGATCAGATGACTTTTGATTAACTTCTTTCTCTCTTGCTTTTTATATGACCCCTTTAGCGAGCTTTAGGTGGATGACTCCCAGTCCAGTTGACCTTAGGGCACCAGATTTTGAAATATCCTTACAGGCTTACTTGCTCGAGTCATAAAGGCATGAAAAGAAGTGTCTTATTCTCACAAATTAATTTTATGCCCTTATTGCTCTAGACATTTGGTTTTTAAAACCAACCCCTAATTTAAGATTTTTACCTAATCTTCACCTCACTGATCTAGGCAATCCACACAATAAAATTTCATGCACGGAGCCCCTGCTCATTTCAATGCTCCCCTATAATAGCTCAACAATTACCAAACTATCTTAAGGTAGTTTATGGGTTAATTCAATAGAGGGTTATCATTCTTTTCCTACTTTATGCTCAAAATCCAGTCATTCACCTAATATGTCAAGCATGAATAGTTTGCATAGATAAAGTCAAGTGTTGCATCAACAAGTATTGGTTAGTCTAATTAACATCATATCCAAAGTTTTACAATTTAAACTAGTCCAATAATAACTTCATAGCTAGCAAGGTTATCAAGCCCACACAAACATGCATGAAGAGAACTAAAACAAATTGAATAAAATGCAAAGATTTTTTTTATACTCATCATGCATACATTATGCAGTAATGGAAAGCAGATAATGATGAACACAGATAAAGATTTAAAATTATGTCACCCTCCCCAAACTTAGTTAATTCATTGTCCTCAATATAAGATTAACAAAAGATTAAAGACATAATTTTAAGGATAAAATGAAGAAGAAAACTCAAAATGGGGTAAACGGTACTCCCTTGATCAAAATGGTGGCAGTGATGGAATCCTGGATCCTGCAGTATCATATGTGGAGCCGACCTTCTCTTTTCCTATTGAGGTCTTTCTGATGACATCCTACGAAAGTGCAAAGTATGTGTATTATATCTTATGATGATAATTGATAAACTTGGGTGTGCATGAAGGAATCCATGTGACGCACCATTCCCCCAAACTTATTTCAAGGTGCATGTGTACACTATTGGCGTGTAAGATGTATAAATTATATCTAAATATAAAGTTCATATCACAAAAATGTGAATCACCGGCAAAGTTTAGCTCTAATCATGCACTTTGTTCAATTTGACCCATGACTGACTAAAATAGGATTTCAACCTTATGACTCTAGCTCAATGCATTGGGACTCGTGTGGATTGTGCTTAGGCTATTTATTGACATGCATGGATGAACGATGACCTAAACTAATAAAAATGTTGAAAATTGAAAAACTCCTAGACTAATGCAAAATGAAATAAATAAAGGATAGAGACGTTGGGTTGCCTCCCAATCAGCGCTACTTTATAGTCGATAACTCAACTTTTGGCACATGTATTTTATGGCACGTTAAATATAGCTTGAAAGGTCCTACATAGTTTGTTCATTATGGTCTTGTTCCGCACTGCAGTTATCCTCCGAATTTCATCCCTGTCTTTCTCCAAGTGATTTGTCATTCTCTCCTCACCCGTATGAAATTCCACATTGAATGCCTTAATCTTCTTTGAATCGATAAGAACGAATGGAGAGTGTACTATACAGGTCTCATGAATGTTTGGCTGTTTCTTCAACTCAAAATTATAGAGGATTTCTATGTCAAGTACTTCAATTTGGAAATAGCTTTCAGGCTCGTTGGGGTATTTCATTGTCTTGAAAATATTAAAAGAGACTTGTTCCTTCCCCAACTTCAGAGTTAATTGTCCTTGCTGCACATCTATGAGGGCTCTTGCAGTAGCCAAAAATGGTCGTCCCAATATGATAGGAACGTCCTTGTCTTCTTCCATATCCAAAATCAAGAAGTCTGTTGGGAATATGAGTTTATCCACTTTAACTAATGCATCTTCAATAATCCCTCGTAGATGTGTAAGTGATCGATCAGCTAGCTGTAGAGTTACTGTGGTTGCCTTAGGCTCTCCCAATCCTAGTTTCTTGAAAATAGAGAGTGGCATCAAGTTAATACTCGCACCGAGATCACACAATGCTCTATCAAAATAAAAATCACCAATTGTGCAAGGAACAGTAAAACTCCCTGGATCTTTCAATTTTGGGGGGAGCTTTTTCTGGATTCTGGCACTGCATTCCTCCATAAGCATTACTGTCTCATGGTCCTCCAGTCTGCGTTTGTTTGATATAATATCTTTGAGAAACTTCGTGTAGCTAGGCATCTGGAATAGTGCATCGACTAGTGGGATGTTGATATGGAGCTTTTTGAAAATTTCTAGGAATTTTTTGTACTGTTGCTCCAATTTTTGCTTCTTCAACCGCTGTGGAAAGGGAATCGGAGGCTCGTATGGGATGACTGTGACTTTGACCTTATCTTGTGACTTTTCTGAATTTTCCTTTGGAGTTGATTCCTTTACAACAGTCTCATCTTCAACAGGGAAAAATGTCTCTCCAATCACACCCGATCTCTTGACATGGATTTCAGGCAATTGTACTCTATTTCGAGTTGTAATGGCCTTGGCTTGCTCCTTAGGGTTGATTTCAGTGTTTCTGGGTAAGTTTTCTGGTGCTCTTCCTGTCATGGAGATTGCCATCTGTCCCATTTGTGTCTCCAAATTTTTTATTGCTGCACTTTGGTCTGGAAGAGTTGCATCTGTCTTTCGCATAAACTGGTTGTTTGCTTCCATAAACTGATTGGTTGTTGCCATAAGTTTCTCGAACATCTCTTCCAATGGTGGCTTTTTATCCTGCTGCTGATATTGACCTTGTGGTCTGTTTTGATTCTGATTACTTCACGAGAAGTTCGGGTGTTTTCTCCGGCCTTGATTGAAGGTTTCCGAATGTGGGCTGTTTTGTTGGCATTGACCCCATTGCACAAAATCTGCATGTTCGACTCCCTGTGCGAGAATTGGACAATTAATAGTGTTGTAGTCTGCTCCAGATTCTTCACAGCTTGGCTTCTTAACTTGTTTAGCAGTGGTGGTCTGTGAAATGCTCTCAACCTTATGGAACAAAGAGTTTATCTTTGCAGACAGTGCTGAATAAGTATCTACTTCATAAGCCCCCGACGTTCTCTTCTGAACCAGTCGATCTGTAGACCACATGGCTAAAGTTGTAGCCATTCTCTCAAATAGCTCTCATGCTCTGTCAATTGTTCTTGTGGAGATAGACGTGTCAGATGATGAATCCACCATGATCTTGAAGGATGGAAGTAGTCCAGTGTAGAAAAATCGGATATGTGTCTTCTTGTCAAAGCCATGTTGCGGGCACTTCCTCAACATATTCTTGAAACGATTCCATGCCTCTTCAAATGATTTGGACTCACCTTGGTTGAAAATAGAGATATCATGCCACATTTTGGCTACCTTTGCTGGCGAGAAGAACTTGGTGCAAAACTTATGGGCTAGCTCGTTCCAGGTGGTGATGCTTACGACGAGAAGTGAATCCAACCATTCAAGTGCCTTATCTCGCAAGGTGCGTGGAAACAACCGCAGTCTTATAGCATCGTCCGAGATACCTTGGTACGTGAAGTGTTGGCACATATCCAGAAATCGGGATATGTGTGTATGTAGGTTCTCACTAGCCATCCCATGGTATTGATGCCCATTCTGAAATAGTTGAATCACATTTGTTTTCAACTGGAAGTTCGGTTGCCCAAATGGAGGATACACAATGCTAGATTGACTTTGAACCACCAATGGAGCCATGAAGTCCCCGATTACTGTATTCCCATCATCTTCAACTACCATGCCTTCGTTAAGTGGAATTACTGGTTGATTTTGCTCGTTAGCCATTTTTGTGCCGCTCTTGCTTCTCTTTGCCTATGATGGAATGTGCGTTCGATCTCTGGATCTATGAGAACCAAATCTTGATCAGGTGCTTCTTGCATACAAGCTCAGAGATTGCAAAATCAATACAAAATTAAATTGAAGTAATAATAAACTAAACCTAGTAAGCTAACTATTACTAATCTAAATAAGTTCGAATTAGTGTCACAAAAGATAAAATTAAAATTAAATTTCAATCCCCGGCAACGGCGCCAAAAACTTGTTCGCGAAATACGTTCTTTCGATTTAAAACTACCGCATGTGTACGGTTCGTTAACAAGTAATAAAGTAGATTAAATGAGTTCGAATATTGTCCCACAGTGATTGATTAGTTTAATTTTACCTATCGTCGCCTTAACCGAAACAATGGAAATTCTTGATATTTTCGCTAACTAAATTATGATTTAATAACCTACTTATAAATATAAAGCCTAAATTAACTAGATTAAATGCGTGATTATAACTAAATGTAAATTTTATAAAAATGTGATAACGAAATGCGTACTAGGATCCCGAATCCCCTTATATCAATCAACTTTAATCCGAATTTTATAAAATTGACAGCACGATTTAATTATGAAGACCAATATTCCTAATTTGTTTAACAATCTCTCTCGAGTAGAATTAAACCTATTTTCACATGCGATCCGACTATATTTCTATGATGGATGTGAACATATAAAAATGCATTAAAGATTTATGAATACTTAAAGATCACGTAAAGTATAGCGGTATATTTCTATCCTCTATCGAGTTTTACGACAATTAACATAATGTCTAACTTATTTTTCATCTCTCGAGGGTAAAACAAGCCACAAAGCTCATTCAACTATTGCGCACATAATTGTAGAAAAAATAAAATTCATGCCAATCATTCAATAATTAAAAACATGTTTTAACGTCAAATTAATAAAATTCAAGATTAAGGATTCATAATATAAGGTTCATCGCAAATCCTAGCACATGAAAATCTAGCCTAACATAGTGGGAAATAAAGAAAAACAATAATTAAAACCAAGGAAGAACATCACCCAATTGATTCCTAAAGTGAAATCTTGAATCTTGAAGTGGATTGCCTTGCTTTTGCCTTGTTGTTCCTCTCCAAATCCTCCAAAATTGTGTATATTCCCCCCCCAATCCGTTCTCCTCTTTCTGGACGTCTTTTGGTATTTATATCGCGTGAAAATTAGGTTATCAAAAGAGTTTCAGTCGTATAAGGAAATTGCAGAATTGGCCCGAAATTGTTCTATGTGACCACATAGTACATTTATATGCTGTCGCATAGAGTAAAAAATTTGAGAAAAAATTCTCGGGAGGCTTCTATGCGACTACATAGAATTTATACTATACGATCGCATAGTTATGCGATTCTTTCCGCCGGACAGCTTTTAACATTTTGATCATAACTTTTTTTTCTGATCTTAGATTGAAGTGATTCAAAGTGCATTGGGAAGAAAATTCAAAGATCTACACTTTTAGTAGAAATAGGCTTCCTCAAATTCTAATGTTTACTATGCCAAAAATGAATCTCAACTAAAGACTAAAAATCACACGCATAACTTTTTCGCCTGAAAGTTGATACTTGATAATATTTCGATCATATTTCACCTCTCGACTCCTTTCCTCATCCGATTTACCTCTAACACTCTTGAATCTTCATTCCATTTCCCGTCTCATCTATGAATTATTTGCAACTTGGTCCCCGAGCTTTCAGTTTGATTCATTTTGATCATTTTTCGACTCTTTTCTCCTGAATTCCACCATTTTCATGAAAACACCTACATTGCATGAATTCAATGAGATTAAGCCACAATTTAAACATTTTGCTTATAATTAAGTCATGTTAGTGATCTAAATAAGTTTGTAAAAACACACTTATCAGAAGGAGATATAGAGAGTTGAACTTAATTGAATCCACTTGCAACAGAAATTACACAGTTCTTTGCTCCATGCACATGGGTGATATATATACACCCACACAATAAAGTCTCATTTACTGGAATGCCAATGAAACGCTTAAAAAGGCAATATTTAAATGGACAATCAGCATAAAATATTCTTACCTTCAAATGTTATTATGCAAAACTTCATTACTTTTTATTTTTTGACATTTCCATCTCTTTTTCACCTTTTATTGCAAAAAATATCATTTTTATCCAATTTCTCAATTTTAAAAAATGTAAAATGACAAATATATCCTTCTATTTAAATAAAAAAAGAAAGTTAAAAAATAAATTGTAATTATACTCCCACACTTTTTAAAAAAACTACAAATTAGTCCAAATAAATATCAAAAGAATAATTAGCACAAAAAATTTCCTACCTTTCAAAATTATTGTGGAAAATATCTATACTATTATTTTTTTGACATTTCATTGCGAAAATCATCGTTTTCATCCATTTTCTCAATTAATAACTGTAAAATGACAAAAATGCCCTCTTATTTAAATAAAACAAAAAATAATTAACAAATTACAACTATACTCGCAAAATTTTCAAATAAAATTACAAATAAATAATTGAAAAAAGAAGTGATTTTTAAAATTTTTAATTTTACTTATTTATTTAAAATTTATTTTTACTTTTAAAAAAATTGGGAGCATAATTGTAATTTGTTCCTTATTTTTATTTTCTTTATTTTTTTATATAAATAGAAGATAATATTTGTCATTTTATAGTTTTTAATTGAAAAATGGACAAAAATGATGATTTTCGGCTTTCCGCGATGAAATGTGAAAATAAGGGTGAAAGTGTCAAAAAATAAAAGGCATGAATGTTTTGCACAATAATATTGAAAAGTAGGGAATTTTTATGTTAATTTTTCTTTTAATAATTTATTCGGATTCATTTGTAGTTTTTTAAAAAGTTTGGAGTATAATTGTAATTTATTTTTTTAACTTTTCTTTTCCTTTTTTTTTAAATATGATGGTATATTTGTCATTTTATATTTTTATTGAGAAATTTGATGAAAATGACATATTCCTCAATGAAAAATGAAAAGAGGGGTGAAAATGCAAAAAAAAAAAAAAAAAAATTAGAGACATTTTGTAGAATAACATTAAAAGGTAAAAACATTTTTTTGCTAATTATCCACATTTAAATCAACCAAATAATTTCGAAACCAAAATTGACATCGCCTAACTGCTTAATAAAACAGTGTCACATTGAATACAAATTACACTTATTACCAATGGTTCCTTTTTCTTCTTCTTCCTTGCCGATTTGACTTTCTTTCCCTTCCATTGATTCCTCTCCTGACACTTCATATGTGCCCATACTAATTTTCAAACTCATAGTATGAGGAATATGAAAATTTATAAGACATAAAAAAAAAAAAAAAATCTAAAATGCACATGTAAAAGAAAAATCTCGGGTTCAACTAATAATAGTGAAGAGTGAAAACTCAAATTAAGCTCAAATGAATTTAAATAATTTCCAGTAATTTAATTTAATTTCCCACTCCATAATTTTTACTGAAACGGAATTGCCAGCTTTTTTTTTTCCCCAATTCCTTCCAAAAGCTTAAAGTTATAACTTATGTTTATTATTTTCATTATCAGAAAAAGATCGTTTATATGCAGAATAATTTAATTTCTTTGTTTTAGGGTATAAAAGGATAGATTTAGTCATGTAATTTCCAAAAAATATACAGCAGTAAATTAATGTGGGCCTTTTGAGTGCCAAACAATGACATATGTAATTGGATTACAATAATTGATTATAGGGAACACCAAATAAATCCTTTATTTAAAAATCACATTTCAAAACTAACAAACTTCTAAAAATCCTTCAAAAATCAGGTGATATTTAAATTTATTAAATATTTAATTATAATATAGTATAATTAATATACTCATCCCACCCCACCTCCAATGCACCCA